ACTAGGAAAAAGGTATGTTAAAAAAAAAAAAAAAAAGATTTCCAGTCTTTCCCGCTCCACCCAGGAGAGCGCCAGGCCAGCCCTCGGTGGCCTCCTCCTGGTCTACCCAAGCTCACGCCGTGCCGACTCACTGGTGGTCCCCTTCAACTCGTCTCTTGCGCACTGTGAGGAGAAAAAAGGATGATGAGAGCCCTCTTCATTTCTGCAGTACTAATGAGCTTGCAACAAGCAAGCAAGTCCAACACGACCTGGTCAGTCTCACAAGAGTGACGTGCATTCCCAGCTCACGTGACCATGCACGGACCTGTCCCCAGGTTCCCCTACTGCCACTCGCCCTCAGCTGCGGATACCAGGCTCACACAGTGGCCCGGCAGGCACAGCAGGATGGGACCAGTCGATAGTTACTGAAAAATGTACACCATGTTCAGGAAAGTCACTAGTAAAGTACTGTGTTAAGTTTTGCAAACACACAGGCAGCGGTTTAGGCCATCGGCATCCTCTCCTGGTTAGACACCACAGTGTACTCCCACGGCCTGAGACAATATACCAAAAATCTGCCAGTCATTTCCACAGGTAAGAGACTTGCTGCTTTCCAAATTCTTTTTCATCCTATAAGACAAACCAGTGCTGGGCTTGGATGAAACTGAATGCAAAGTAATGGAAATCTCTGGCCCTGGGAGTGGCGCATCTCTGCGGGCACCATCACTTCTGCCTGCCAAGTGGCTCACAGCGACACAGCTCTCACAGGCTGGGGTCCCTGGGGAGGGTAGGGCAGGGCAGGGTGCCACCTGTCAGCCACCTGAGCCTCTCTGCGGGCTTCACTAGACTGGCAGCCTCCGCCTTGCAGTTAACTCCCACCGAGAACACAGAAGCACAGGTTCCACACCAGGGACAGCACGTGCCTTGGGCTGCTGCCGCTTCCCAGTGCTCCTCTGCCAGACCGTGACCCGCTCTCCCTGCTCTGCTGCAGCCCCAGTGACATCGGCACCTCACAGCCATGCGCTCGCAGGCACAGACGGCACAGCGGACCTGTGTCAGCCAGCGCACCAGTGGTTTCCACACTGTCCCAGCACATCTCTCTGTCGACGTTAGCTGGGCCTGTGACTTCCCACTCTGCTGTCTGGATGCACACAGAGTGGCACCCGCCCCCCGCCAGGGTGCAGACACCACTGCCGCAGCCGGAATGGACACACAGGGCTGTGCAGAAGCACCTGCCCAGCACTGGCTGGGGCGAGCTACACAAAGTCACAGATTCCTGTGAACAATGTTACACCTCCCCTATCAAGCTCACCCCTAAGTCTGTGCCCCTGAAATATTAGGGTTGTCTTCTCAGCGCTCAGGAGGCTGAGGCAGGCAAGTTTGAGGCCAGCTTTGACTACACAGGGAGTTCAAGCCCAGCTCGGAATACAAAGCAAGACCAAAAATAAAAAAGGGTGAAAACCCCAAAGAAGACCAGAATTCCCAAATACAAACTTAGTTCACAATACAGATTTCTGAATAATACGAAGTCTCTGAAAGGCAAACGTCACATACTTCCTGAGGGCAGGGTTTGGCTGTGCCTGGCCAGTCACTTCAGATGTCAGAATGCATGCTGTGAACGAGGTCTATAGGACAGATACAGAATAACAGGTGCAGAGAGCTACGGCACAGCAGATGTACACGGCATAACCTGCCCTCAGCTGCGACACATCTCAGCCTGCCGGGTGTGAGGAAGCAGGGTCACGTCACTGAGCAGCTGAGTCTAAGAAACGATGAGGAAAGACATCATCAAAACCAGAACGGAGAATGGGGCCGGGCATTCAGCTCAGGGGCACAGTGCCGGCCTCTCGGGCAAGGTCCTGGGTTCGATCTATGGTACCAGAAAAAAAAAAAACCCAAAATAAAAAGCCAGAATGCCAAAGTCAAAGACCTGACAGAGCCTCCTTCACGAGTGGAAGGCTAAGTTCCAAGTCCTGGTCTCATGCTCTTCTGAGTTGCTACAGGAGATGGGAAGCCCTGCCTGTCCAAGAACAGCCTGAAGCTTCTCACCTGATCCCCAGGCCAAGATGGAGCCGATGTCGGGGGAAAGAACCATGCTGAGAGCTACGGTCTGGACTGCTGCTGCTCCTGGGGGAGCCACTCTGCCACTTCCCAACTGGCTCCCGTCACCTGCAGCAATTCCTCAGAGCACCACTAGATGTCAGGCTTATAAATCCTGCCCTGTTAATCTTTTGGAGCAGGTTCAGTTTCTTTGCAAGCCCCATGCTGCTGTGGAGAAATCCTAACCACCCTCAGTTTCTCCCTAAGAGAGTAATACAGATAGTTTTAAAAATATCATGTCACTCATGCATTCAGAGGCCTACAATGGCTCTCAAATACCTGATTAAAAAAAATCCAGACTGGGTTTATGCTGTGGTTATGCTGCCTGCCTTAAAAGCACAAGGTACTGAGTTCAACCCCCTGTACCGCCGCCCACAAAAAATCCACAGACTAAGGTGTTCACAGGAAATCCAGTGTCTTCTACTAACGTTCCTTCACACGGTCATCATGGTTCTATCCTGTTACTGGGACAAGTTCTCCAGGAGTTTCTTCTGGACCTCAGTACATGCGCAGCTCGCTCACTCCCAGTGTGACGCAGCTGTCCTGCAGTATGCTGCACACTGCAGTCCTTGTCTGTGTTTGGACTGATCCGAATGGCAGCTTCACGGGTCTGTCCGAGTCACCTCATTCTCCATTCAGGGCTGTGTCTCAGCTGTGCACACCACAGCCCGGCTGCCCAAACCTCCCAGACTCACCCCAACACATCCTTCCTGACAGACATAGGGCTGGAGCTACCTGCTGTGACAGCGGCTGAGTCACCGACTGCTGGCAAGGGCACAGGGGAGAGAGGGCCAGGGCCACAAAGCCATGGGTGGCATTTGGGATCTACCAGGACAGTTTCAGAGGTACCAGGAAAAAACCCCCCCAAAACCCAAAAAACAAAGAACCAGAATGCCAAAGCCAAAGATCTGACAGAGCTTCAGAGAGGAGGGGAGGACACTGAGGCTGACTTTCTGGTGCTCAGGCACAGGAGCATGGCGACTGAGGCAGAGGTAACTTCCACTGTATTCACCTGACACATTTCCACTCAGCACCATCAGGCAGGCCTGGCCATGAGATTCGGATGCGGCAGGTGGACACAGCTCTGCCAACAGATGGTCCCCATCTACACAGTGTGACAGTGCTTGGAAATACCCTCCAGGGAGGTTTAACTACCAGGAAGTATGACCAATTCCATAACGGACAGGCTGTGGGGGGTGCAGCTGGCGAGATGTGAAATGGCGAAAGACTCAAATCCTAGCACCCACATCCAGCTGGAGAAGCAGGACAGGGCCTCACTGAGTAGCATGGCCTGTGACAGGCCGACCACACTGGAATCTTGAAGGGAAGGGGAGCCAATAATCTGTTTTTAAAGCTCTCCAGTTATTTATGAGAAACACTGCTATGAAAAGCAGAATTAAATATTTAGAGCAGGCCAGGGTGGTGGCACACATCTAGTCCTAGCATTCTGGGAGGCTGAAGCAGGACTGCAAGTATGAGCCCAACCTGGGCAACTACTCTGCCTTAGCAAGAACTTGTCAAAATAAAAACTTTAAGTAGGGGTGGGAAAGTAGATAAGTACACAGGCCTTAGGCCCACAGTGGGTAAAAATCTAGAGGGGGAAAAAAAAAGAAGCTAACTAGTGAACCAATATTAAAACAATTAGCATGACTGCAAACTACATCTAGAATCAACAATACAGCAAAATACACCCATCCCATTTAAAAGTGGCTAAAATTTCCTATTGGAAACTTGTCATATAAAGAAGAGGAAGGGTCTAAACTAATATTTTCCACAGTGATCTTGTTTAAATGACTGAAGCTGTATTATTTCTGCACCAGAAACATTAAAATGAAAACTCAAACACGGCTGAAGCTTAAAAGTGCAAGAGTACTTTAAAATGTTACTCCTGTTGGGACGTCTTTACTTCTTCTAAAATGCATCTTCTGAAATATTTCAACTGCAATTTTAACCATAACTTAAAAACAAAATTAAGCACCATATTCCTTGTATCATGTAACTCTGAGCCAGGTCTCCTCACGTGGCCCAGCAGGTCTCAAGCTCGTACTCATGGGCTCAGGGACCTTGCACCCTGTACTGATAGCTGAGCCAGCAGGTGCAGCCAGATTGGCCACAGGCTCTGCCCTTCTCACTGCACCCCGGGGTCTCGATGGCACAGCACAAACCCAGTTGCTACACAGGAAGACAAACCCAAATCTGGGGTAAAAACTCTAGTTTTTCTATGTCCCACCACATAAACTTTAATTCCGATCTGGGTTTATTTGAGAAAAAGCATAAAATGCTCTCCTGTAATGTGGAAATCCTTGTTTTAATAGCTACAAAGACTGTGATTTGTAACTGAGAATAAAACATTTACTGTCAAAACTTCACATAAAATCTTGAAACTGCTTCACAGGAAGCTGGTTTATGACCACCTGACAGTCATGACTGCCTGGCACTGCCTGGACTCTGCAGACTGCAGGAGCAAAGGGAAAGGGATTTCTCTGTGTTAGAACTTACCTTCAAAGTAAAAAACCTGGTACAGCTCGGTGCCACAGAGGAGCTGGGCTGCGTGGGTGCCAATACAATGGTGATCATGCCCCCCACCCCACCGTGTGAACAAGAGAAAGGAGGCCTGAGGCTTCTAGATAAAAATTGGAAGCCCACTAGAAAAGTGAAGAAAATCTGTGATAAAGGCACACCACACCACCATAGCTGGTAAGTCGGAGGGACCAGCACCTCACATTGGAACCTGGTCTAACTTCAGGGAAAAGACAGCTAGAACCTGCAGTAGAACCTTGCAGAGTTCAACCCAGCAGGAGGACAGAGATCTGCCTGAACCCGAGGGGACAGCTGTTGCCTTGCTGAGACTAATTAGCTTAGCCCTGCACACTCCTGCCCATGCTGTATATTGTGTCAATAGAGGCATACCCTGAAGGAGGTCCTCTATTTCTATTTGTGTTTTTTATTTTCAAAGTAATATTTTTTACGTATCTTTAATCATTTAAAAATATTTTATCTTTTTCTTTTCTCAATTTTTTTCCTTTCTTAAAATCTTTTCTTTTCTGTCTCTCACTCTCTCCCCAACCTTGATCTCCATTACT